GTCAAAGTGAAGGTCAAGGTCAAAGTGAAGGTCAAGGTCAAAGTGAAGGTCAAGGTCAAAGTGAAGGTCAAGGTCAAGGTCAAGGCAATCAATAAAATGTCTATACTTACACCATGAGTCGTAAGAATCCCAACAACGGCTGGCGATAGAAAACCTGATAATGAGCCCGCGGTGTTAGCAATTCCCATTAATAGCCCAGCATATTTTGGCGATAAGTCGATGAGGTTTGGCGAGGCTCCTGGACTTCCTATACCGTAGGTACCAATCCCTAATGTAAGTAACACCAGTGAACTAAAAGCCCTGGTTTCATAGCCAACTGCCACCACGAAGCAGGAGCTAATGAGGAGACCTGGGAATGAATAACAATATCGCTTCAGTTCAAGTGTTTTTCTCATTCAGGAAGTGACCGCTTTGCAGTTTCATTCTTGACTATATACTCCTTTGTACAGGTCTACTTTTAAGAGAAACTCATTCACGAAAGTCAACTGTATTGTAAAGAATGTGCCGGAACTTGAACAACGTTCTTCAATCTAATGGACTTTTAATGACATCTCAATGAATAGCGCCTAAATATAGTTTTATGATGTGAAAGAAAGAAAATGTTTTAAGCTTTATTTGCGTTCAATTACATAGACCTTTTTAACTTCGCATACAAATTGCCCATTTCAGGTCACATGACATTCCCTYGAGAATTGTTCTTTTATGACTAACATGTTAAATATTTACATATGAAAGRATCAACTCCCAAGAGTGGCATCACGTGGTCTGAAATGARCACAACAAACAACAAAGCTAAAAGCAAGGTCTATTATGTACATCCACACAGATACTTACCTACAGCCTGGAATAGTTTTCTAGTAAATTCTATGGAATATACTTTTCTTGTAATCAACTGGTCTGCCAAGAGACTCGCGGATGGGGATATAATCGCCATTAATATATACGGTATAGCGCTGATGAAACCCGTCTAAGTAGAAGAAAATGCATTACAAACTGAAATGATGACTTCAATCTCGCGACTACACCTTACTAACTCAATTGTGTATTGCACCAAAACAAAAACCAATGAAAGAAGTCGATTTTTTTAACTGACTTGGAGTATTAAACTCAGTTAAATAAAAAAATCGTGAAAGTAGCGTGCTTGTCGTTTTTCTGCCCTGTCACTCTAAACAATATCGCGCGATGTTGTCAATTTCGTTATTTCATTCAATCATACAAGTCAAGATGAAAAGATACTTACCTCAGCGACGCTACATTTTAAAACTTGCTTCATGTATAAAGGAATACATATTAACATGGTATAAAAACACCAATCTGAGACCAGAAAGGTTAAGGTACAAGCCCAGACTGGTAGAGAAAGTCCAATGTCTTTCCATGGGATGTTAATCTTGACAACCTGACAGAACAACAGAATTTAGAATATTTCCTTCGTCAGTGTTCATCATTCCCTGTCAGTTACAAATATGGGAATCTGTGAGTCAGCCGTGCCCTGAATTACATCAGCCCAGAAGTTATCATCATCATCATTTTAATTATTATTCCATCCAAGAGATTACATATTGAGAAATTTTTGTTAGGGWTGTTTCAGGGTATCGACAAAATTTGAAGATTTGAAGGCTTTAGTTACCTTTTCAGGGTCCATATCCCATGGATTCCCTATATAATCTATCTCCTCTTTAGATATACATGGGTGGTCCTTTGGAGTCTCGTACATACAAATTTGCCACACTACAAACCACAATATACCAAATGAACCTGGAAGAAATAAATAAATAATTAAGTAATGATGAAGAACAAACCTAGATGTGTCCTTCGGAATGGACCTTTTTAGCTCTACGTATCATTCCATAGAGTATTATTCTTTTSTTTAGCGGTTGCGGATGAGAAGACATATGCTTATGGATACAACTCAAACAGAACATCTTATTATAACATGTGAAAATCAACATGTGAGTTAAGCCTTGAGTGGATAGAACATTGAATGTAGTGGTAGTGCGTGTGAGTGAAAAGTGTCCCCAATTAGTGCGAAAGCGCTAGAACGACTAGACACTTAAATAAAGAGATTTGTATATATTTATTTATTTTTTGAGGTCCAAGGCAAAGCGTCCTATATACCATTCATTAAAATCCCTTAAGAAAAAAATACATATTATTTCTGCCCTGGACCATGTGAAGCACCTGTCGTTAAACCACGCACTCTATACTTCTTTTTCTTGTGTCCCTTCAGTTTCGGATCTAGGGGAGGGGTGCAGGGGGAACGCACACCCCCCCCCCCTTCCTAGATGAGCTGATATCTACTGCATAATTGGTGTTTGAGTTTGTAAGCAAAGGGGGGCACCCCTTTCTAAAACGAGAATCCTGGATGGTGTACCCCCCCCCCCTAGAAAAAATCCTTGATCCGCCCCTGCCCTTTAAGTTTGGCAAGTACTGCTTACGTTAGTTATGCATACGTACCAATGAAATAAAAGGCGAAGGGCCAGCCACCTTCACTCTCAGATAAAACCCCAGTGATAGGCATCGTGACGATTGTACCAACGATAGTGCCTACAAACATTGAAAATAAACATTGTTACTGTTCGATAATTCGTTATTAGTACACTGTCTCACTGTCTACTGTTGTTAGTCTTATCGATAATCGCTGGAATCCAAGCCAACCCGGAGAGAAGCGAGAGAACAAACTGTCGTTCTAAAAATAGCTATGATATGTGATATGATGTATTGACGAAAAAAAAGTCGCATATCGCTATTCAGTACCTGATCCTGCTATAGTCAAGAGAGAACTGCGCTCAAACATCGGAGACCAAGTTGCCCATATGCAGTGATGGGCTGCTGCTATAAGACCCTGTAGAAAAAAAGGAATATCGTACCAATGTCCTCTCTCATTATTACAACATTARGGTCTACCCTAATGGAATACTTCGACGATGCGGCGGCCATCTTGAATCGTAAGGCATTATGGGTAACTCTTTCATTAGGTGATCGGTGTGCCGTCTTTGGCTGTAATAATTACAAGCGATATAAAGGAATAAAAATATATCAAGCCTCATGTTAAATTTTTTTTGCCTCCTGGACGTCCAATAATGCATTGCGATCCAAGATGGCCGCCGTATCGTTGAAGTAAAATGGCACCTCTACTCTAGTTTTGGAAAAAGTCCTGAAACTCGGAAACATCTTTTTACTTGTATTATTAAAATGTCTTACCAGAGCAAGTCCTTCAAATATTCTTAACACGATGAACAACTTAAAGTTGTATCGCACGATAGGCGGCGTAACGACTGTCAATATTGATGCAATCAAGATAGCAAAGCCAAAGACGGGCTTGCCTCCATAACGAAGGGCCAACATGCCTGCAGGAATCTGGAACACTGCGTAGCCATAATAGAACGAGCCAAGGATGATGCCTTGGATMATGATGAACATTCAAAGATAGGAGACAAAGTTAGGTTGTCTTAGTCTTTTCAACTATGCAGACCATATAGCCGTGAAAAACTTTGTAAGAAATTGCACAAATTAGTAAGTTCAGTAGACCTCAGTAGACCGTAGACCTAAAAAACTTTGCACAAATTTGTACAGTTTTGTTAGTTAACTTTTACAACGATATATGGGTGCACTCTATTACGCAATACAATACACTACATTAACTTTATTTCAAGAGGGAAATGCAATAACCTAATTTAAAGTTAAAATTATCACTGTTGAWTGCAAAGCCAATAAGAAGAAAGAAAAAGCAAAATAGAAGACTTCCACGAAAGGTGAAAAATCCAGATGCGGCGCCCTCAATTTTTGGTGTTCATTTTGACACAACTGCTTATGACCTATTCCATAACTTACCTTGCACTTCGGATGTCCAATCAAATTCTGGTCCCTAGCGAAAATGAATTAATAAGATAAATATTATATTTATATATTCTTACATAGACCAAGTTAAGAAATGTTGGTATATTTAGACCAGTATGGTTGGCCTGTTAAAGAAATGGCCCTATTATTTCAGTATCAAAATTTGTAATCAAACTCAGAATAGGCACAGTCTATGCAATATATTCTTCGTGGCCACTTTGTAAATCACTAATGAAGCTCTTGTAATTAATAAATAAAGATTTTTCACCTTATTAACTTCTACTCCGTTTTCAATAACCGTGCGGTTGGTCGCCATAGCAACGATGGCAACACTCAGGCAGGTTCTGATGGCATACATTTGGAAGAGGCCAAAGAAACAAAGAAGTACAAGGATGTAGCGCTTTGGGATCCCTGGTATCTGAGTACAGAAGAGTGGATAAAGTCAGTTTTAGCTTGAAACACAAAGTAATAAAGTGCTACTCTTCTGAGAACTGACTGCTCTCGTGTAAAGGAAGAGAGGAAGGGACGAAGGGACGAAGGATGAAAGGAAAAAAAGGACAAAGGAAGGAAGAAAGAACGAAGGAAGGAAGGACACAAAAGCTCAGTTCGACTAATCTACCACAGGCAGCCCAGTACCAGTCATCAGCCTTTACAGATAAAACTAAAATCAAGAGCTTTTTTCCCGCATACTTTCTGGTGTTCAGTTGTTGATACTTCTCCAGAAGCTTGAGATGAACCACGAGAGTCATTTTTAGGCCAGTCCTCTTGTTCGTCTGTCATTCAAACCACTAAGGACAGCTGCACCAATCAGCAATCACCAATCAGTGCACCTTTAAMAACTTGATCCTTTTTTCACGGGAAACCATAAAATATCATCAAAAGAAAATGAACTAAGAGAATGAATCCCCGTGCCCCATCATGTGCACACTTTGATGCTATTTTTAAAATCATTGATGCTATTTTTAACTCGTTCCCATGCCCGCGCGATAATCATGCTTCCCTTATGCCTCGTTTTAAGACACGAAAAGCGCCATATTTCGACAAAAACACAGGCTTTGTTTACTGCAACACTGGAAGCCGTCTTCCCTCAAGAAATCAACCAATCAGGTTCATCGCGCAAAATATCTCCAAGCTAAAAATAGCATCAAACTGTGCACATGATGGTTACAAGGCTATATAGATAGGATTCCTCCTCTTAGTTCATATTCTCTTGATATCATAAAATAAAATATAGAATAAATAAAATTTAAAATGATAATTATAAAATAATRATATAAATATAATATAATTTTTGTAGTTTTGATATTCAAAACAAACTAGTGCCCAGTCCTTCCTCCCTCGCTCCGCCAAAATAAATCCGTGAAGCAAATTATGAAATTAAGCTTAATTTTAAAGTGTCTGAATCTAATGAAACTAGAATCTACTAGATATAGAAATATTTCGTGAGATTTTTAAAATGTGTTTTCCCACTCCGTGTCAAGTTCAGTCATTACGAGAGACTTGCTTTTAATTTGCCATTCAGTGTGGATTTATTTTTAAAAGAATAGATTTAGCATTCAATATTATTGGTAGATTAAATTTGTTTCAAAACAGTTTATTACAAATTTATTTATTACAAATCCCTGCATAATATTATGATTTTAGTACATCATYATTTGGTTCCTATCACAGCACGCAGACGATTCTGATGCTTTCTGCACCGTAAGGAGTCCGTAMGTCTCAACAAACAACATTCCAACAAATCCCGCCATTTTACTAACCTTGTTATAAGCTAAGATTTAAACTGATCCTCGAATCGTGCTGTTCATCATACTYCATCTTTTGATAACATTGTTTGAAGAATATTTTAAGAGAAGATGACTTCAATCTTCACTTGGGATTGTAATTACAAACCATGACTGGTCCGTGTGGACAATCATTGTGACAGCACGATGCAGGTACTCTTTAACATGTTTAGCCRTGCGTACGTATTTTACGCTGAAACAGGACTAAAGAACCAACAATTAGTAAACAAGTTTAGACGAGGTTCAATCAAACACTAAAGCAGGTCAAAACTGCATGGTTYATACAAACAAAATAACTGACAAGATTTTTGAAAACATTTGTACATAAACGAGTTTTACTTGAAATTGTTTAGACTAACTTGAAAATTGAGTTAATAAGATTGTGTTTAGAAAAACAACGTAAACAAACTAACACTCAGTGTATTAAAGGATTGTTATATATTACGGCGTAGAATGTCATCCAGAGATCAGTCGGGTTTGTCAGTAAAAGAAGCAAAATGCAATCTTTTTACCCGTAATTTCAATRATAATCCTTTATCCCTTTTTTCTTGGGATTCAACGAAAAATGCTACTTTCCACTCTCCCTCCCTCTTTTTCCCATTTCTTCCCCATTCCTTTCCCATTCATTTCCCTTTCTTCCCAGTCTTTCCTATTACTTCATATTCCTTTCCATTCCTTCCCATCAAATTTGTCATGATAACAATTAAAATCAACATGACAAAAAGAGAGGAAAAAAGCTAGGTGCCAGCTGTGGAAGACAAATAAGAAAAAATAATATAAAAAAAGAGAGAAAGAAAAGGAAGAAAACAAAATTGTTAAAGCAAGATAAAGCAAGTCGAAAACAACAAAACACACACGTAGCCTAGTTAGAAACACTATCTAGTTTAATAATACCTATATCCCTACGATTTTGAGAACAACTATCCCTTGTCCCTAAAAAAAGTACCAGGACCGGGACCGTTATTAAAGCTTAGATTATTCCTAAAAACTAATATATCCCTTAACGTGTTTTGTCTTTTATCAGCCATTCCTGCTGAAACTATTTTGCCTTTATTAATAAACCTGTCAGGGCTCAGATTTAGCTATCTTTAGGATTTCAAAAGATTATATTAAAAATCATGTGARACCGTCTTTCTAAGTGACGAAAGTCAACCACGCAAAGTGAGGGCCTATGTCACCATGGTAACAACATGATCTTTAGTTGGACTATGACGTTACATTATATCTCATCTTTCCCACCAAGCAAGTGTTGGCCTTGGTTTTCACTGACAAAGCTAAAAATATCAAAACAGTAATTACTCTAGTTTATAAGACAAGTAATTTTAATCTCACCAATTAAGACTGTGTACATATATTTCTTCCCCTGGCTTCCCTGATGTCGATACACTTCGCTCGATAACGGGACTGGCGTTAGGTGTGTATTTGGGGGTTAGTTACTTGTTGACTGGTATAACCTGCTGGAATATAAAGAAAAATTTAAAAACCGTGACGACTGCTTCAAACATCAAGAAGAAAAACCAAAACAACTGAGTGCAAAAAAAAATCTATTATACGAAAATTAAGATATTTTATTGCATTCTTTTTTTATCTCTGGAGAAATTATAGCTTCGCGGGTATTTGACGTTGCATGAAAAGATAACTACATGACTTAATGGTAAGTGAAATAGAAAGAAATCAATAGTATTGAATAGAATCATTTTAGTGAATTATACGAACAGGTAGTTTATATATTTCCTTGTCGAACAGAATAAAATAGTTATTATGTAGTTCAATGAATTTTGGCAGGACAAACTTTGTCAGTGAATTGAAATTATAAACAAAAATACCAGAAAGAAAGAAAGAAAAAGAAAATCAAGGAAAAAATGTTTTATACTTTTATTCCCTTCATTTTCATTATTTTCAAGTTCTCTGGAGTTAAATTACCAGGACAAAAACTGCTTGTTTCTCAGTGTTATCTGATAAGTTAGTGGATGCTCTCTTCCAGTATATAAATTTAGAGCTGAAAATGTTTTTTTAACGACGAAATCATACGATAATGCGAATAAAAATATTTATTTTTTCTATTTTTATAGAATTTACCGGTATAGGAAATGTTATAATTTATGGCTAAATKTTTTAAGGACTGAAAATTCAAAAGCAAGATGAACGAAGACGATAAGGAAGRGACAAGTGCCGAAGACAAGAATATTTCTGAAGCACAAATAGAAAGTGGTGGAAAAGGTAGAAATGAGAATCCAGATGAAGACACACAAGAGGMAAAGCAAAAACCACCTGAAAAAACATTTCCTCTCGGAATCCCGAAGAGATACGTCCTGCTATTCATGGTCTGGTTGGGTTTTATCAATATCTACTCCATGAGAGTTAATCTTAACGTGGCTATYGTAGGCATGGTTAATGATCAGGAGATTGTGAAAAGTGGAGTCAGTTTTGTRAAGGTATGTTAAGACCTATGMAACAMTKTCACGTGATCATTAGCCGCCATATTGGAGGATAAATGCACTAGCATTAACCGACTGGGYAATATTTAACCTTGGTGTATAAACTCACAAATGTCACAATTATTTTTTTCAAAAATTAATGATAAATCTAATTTTATTCCTTTTTTATATCAGTTAAAAAACGGTTTCTTTTTTGTTTCTTTCCAGAAAGCAGAGTTTGACTGGGATTCAACATTACAAGGTAATAAAGCTCCGCTACCCCACCCCCCACCCCCTTACCTCCCGATGCATACCGCATAGAATTTTGGGACAGAATATGGTGTAGGAATTGAAAACTAAATGCATGGCTTTTAGTTGCATTTTCCGCTCTTCTTGTCTAGTCAACCAGTCTTTATTTCCTGGGAAATGATAGAATCCATGGAATCATTCAATGTTTTTGATCATTACGACTTCATTTATACAGGTTTATRAAGCATGATACTTTATGGGATTTCAAGGCCCGTCCATATGTATCCGGAAATTTTGTATCCGCAAATTTTTTTTGCGGATACGAAAATGTTCGCGTCCACACACAGAGTATTCGAATCGTTTTCACTGTCTACACGTATCCGGAAATTTCTTGATCCGCCCTGATGCACGCTAGTGCTTATTCCCTGATGAATAGACGTATGGACCCAACCCGTATCAGCAAAAAAAAGATTGCGGATACAAAACTTTCCGGATACATGTGAACAGGGCCTAAGCCTGCATACACTGGAGTTTAAAGAGTCGCTAAATTCAAAGATCACAGCTATATTTCCTGAATGCCGAGAAAAAATGAATACTAATGAATGATAAAGGAATGCGCTTGTTTACCGTATTGATGATTACCAACAGGTCTTGTGCTCGGATCCTTTTTCTACGGCTACTGGGTGCTACAAATCCCCGGTGCCTGGCTGGCAATACGTATCGGAGGCACCCGGGTATTTGGTTATGGTGTCTTGTTAACTGCACTACTGGCTCTWCTCACACCGGTGGCTACCCGGTATAGTGTATGGGGTCTCGTAGGTGTMAGAATATTCCAAGGTCTTTTTCTGGTAAGTATAGTGCAACAAAAAGACAAAAATAGTTACAAGAATGGTTACTGAATATTAGCCTGCATAAAAAGTGCAAAGGGAAGGAAATGGGGAAGGGACGGGGAATGAGGGGGCTGTGGGAAAGATCCCCCGTCCGGTCACTTCCCTTTTTCTCTCCTTTGCGCCTTCTACGCGGGCTATTGAATATGAATTGTTTTGCAATGCAAAATCAAATAAACCAGTATTTCATAACAACAAATCGTGCAGTAAAATCCCTTCGAACATTCAATCTCGTTCCCAGAGCACTTACTTCTTACTGCGGATGCTCAGTCAATTATTTCGTAGAGCATGCGCAGTAAGAAATAACGGCTCTARGAACGAGATTGATCCAGAATCCACCTTGCTTATCCCCTGCGCATGCACAGTACTCACTATAATATGTTGTTACATAATGTCTAGGGCGTGACCTTCCCATGTAACCATGCGATATGGAGTAAGTGGGCACCGCCTTTTGAAAGAAGTACACTCATYGCAATATCAATAGCAGGTCAGTAATGATGTAGATCAAAAAGGCCCTTTGCAGTTAACGGTCACGTGTTTGTACTAGAGAGCAAAATTTTTGTGTTTTTTTTAACTTGGTGATCTTTTTAGCTACTTGTAAAGAACTGAATGAAAACATGTGTAGGGGAGGGGAGAAAAACTGGAGAACCCGGTAAAAACCTCAAATCAAGGGAGAGACCTAACAAACTCTTTTCACGTGCCTCAAAGGACAAAACCTCTACAGCGCATTTCCAAWCCTGGGTAGTGTTTATTTTATAATGTTAAATCCCGTTAATTTTWTAGGATGTCCTTTTGGAAACATTGTGGCGATACCTCTCACGGGATTACTKACCAAGTATGGTTTTGATAATGGATGGCCCTCTGTGTTCTACTGCTTTGGTAGGTCGTTATCATAATTTACTTCCAGTTTAAAAGTGATGTCTCTGACTATTTTAGTAGAGGAATTTAATCATCGGGTCTGGAAAGCGCGCCCAAAACTCAGAGAGTCGAGCCATGACTTCTAAAACGACAAACTGTAAGGCAGTTCATTATATTAAATGATAATTTAAAAAGCAGTAACGATAGTTTTTCGTATAAAATTAAAAAGAACAGGAAGCTTCGTCTATTCTATCTCTTCGTGTTCGATCATTTTTCCCCTCCAACCTGCGCTACCCTGATAGAAACATATATTCCATGCATATCATAATCAGAGCCTTTTAATACAATCAGAGGAGGAATATGGGCTATAGTGCTGGTATTGTAGATCATTGACTATATTGAACTATGCTTGTTATCTTTTTTCTAGGTATTTCTAGCATCGTTTGGTTTRTTTCGTGGGAGTTCATCGTTCACGAGTCTCCTTCATCTCACCCAACAATATCCAAAGAGGAAAAAGAGTTTATAGAAACGAGTATTTCTTCTTCAGGGGATAAAACCGAGGTTTGTTGGATTATTAATTGAGTGTAAAACGTCTAAGCAATCAACAAGTGCTTTGCGCAACCAATATACCGTCACATGCAAACAGGAATTAGACCAAATTTTGTATAAAATAATGCTTTTCACGTGACATTTTCTTCAGAATAAGGCCTTTCCAAAGTTGCGCGGGAAACTGTTAACAAGACGCGCGCACTGAATCATGGGGCTGTCCTACTCGTCATCAGTTTCCCGCGCAACATTGGAAAAGCCAACGTGTACGAAATGCATAGAAAAATCGAACATAAACCGAAGTAAAGATTGAAAACCGAAGTGTTACGGTAAAACGAACAAATTACACTAATTCAYGGTTTTATTATTAAAGTTTGAAGGYTTACCATGGTATGACATTCTACGGTCCAAAGCCGTATGGGCTATCGTGATTGGCCATTTTGGAGCGTGCTGGGGGTAYTATACTTTATTCACAGGAATGCCAACTTATTTTAAAGATGTCCTTGAGTATGACATAGAAGAGGTAAGTCAGA